AAAACTATGGCGTCTTGTTTAAAGTAACTAATATTATTGATATCTCATACAATAATATTTTGTTTTTAAAACAGTTTACATTTGTTTTAGGTAATAATTTATTTGTTTTTATAACTTTTTGCATTTGTTTTCATTATAAATCTATTTGTTTTTAAAACAAAATAATTTGTTGGAAAAGCTATGGTAATGAGTAACTACAACATTGTTGCTTTGTTGTTAAAACATTTGGTAGTTCTTTTAATCACCAAAAAATAATTTTTGTTAAAAGAACTTAAACAATATTAACCTATGCCTACACAATATTGTTAAATCAACTCTTTCAGTATGTAATACTAATTAATAAAAAGAGTTGCATTAACAATATTGTGTAGGTATAGGTTAATATTGTTTGATTTTTTTTAACAAAAATTATTTTGGTTACCGTAAATATATTTATATTAGTTTGATAGCTTACTTACCTTGGTGGATTTGATATTGGTATTAGTTAATTTAAATATGAGAAACACCCAAATACATTTAAATTAAAAATTACAACTATCTATATCTATAGATAATATTCCTATTATATGGTTAAAAATTGAAATAAAGACAACATATTTTTGGACGAATTATATTTCAAAAAATATTTCATAAAAATAATATAACAAAAAAGCTATGATTTCCTTACCTTTAAAAGTATTTTCTAATAAAATATTAACCGAGTGGGGATTTTCTTCATTAGAAAATACTTTTAAAGGTAAGAAAATCATAGCTTTGCAATGCACAAAAATTAATTAACGCGAACCTGCTTCCTCTAGCATTTGCACAAAAATTTTTTGACAGTGATAAATTATTTTTTTATTATTCAATCACTTTGACACCAAGACTTAACTTTAACCATGGCACCAAGTCGGTCAACTTTATAAAATAAATTTCAATGTCACGTCATGCCAATTTTGGGCGAAAATTGACAACAAAAATATATTTGTTATGTTTACTTAAGGATACCTATTAGCGGCGACGCATATTGTCAGTAGGGTAAACTAATTCTTTCCAACAAATTCATTTTTGTTGCAAATACTAATGTATTAAACACTTTACTTGGGTTAACAAATTTTTTATTAGGACCAACAAGAACAATTGCAACAAAAAATTTATTGGTTGATAAAACAGATTTGTTTTTTCAGTGTATATATGTAAAATATTATTACCTTATAAATGAGCGAATAATATTTTACCCACAATCCACACAACAAGGTCTGTTCTTTAGCTTAAAAATTTAAACTAAAATCGGTGCAGTTGTGCGCACCTACGACATCAAACACTTGCCGCCATCTTGTCACGGGTATTTTAAAATCCCCGAAATAGAAGTTTGATACCGGCCGTTATGGTAGTTTAAATTCCCCGAAATTATAGTTATTACATTATTATTATTATATTATAGTTTGTTTGTTCATAGGTTCTATGGTTTATTATAGAAACAAATTATGGAACAAATTATAACCTCTAATCTGTCAAAATTAAAAATATATATTTATGTATTTTACCAGTTAATTTAAACTTTTTTAAGGTTTTTACTTGCCCTTTTTTTACTTTTTATACCAAGAGTTATAAAAAACGTCCTAATATTTTAGAATTAGAATTTACTTACTGGTTAAACACAAGATTTGCACAATTGAGGTTCAAAAAGGTACACTAGTACAGTCAAAACACAAATAAACAACTAAATAACTGGTTCAAACACCTAACAACGTTTATAAGTCTGTATTAAGGCAAATAAGGCACAAAATTAAACCAAATCAAAATCTACCCGCTTAAAACGTAAACAAACAATATGGCGGCAAGTATTTTGTGATTTTCAGTCTGCGCGAACTGCTAAAGAACAGACCTTGTTGTGTGGATTGTGGTTTTACCTAGTTTTTACCAAATAATTTGTTATGAATAGGTACCTAATTAATTAATAATCCTATAGGATAAGTATACTTTGTATATCAGTGACGCACTGAGCCCTGAGGCGAGCGATCGCGTTTAGGGCCTCGTTTGGCGCTCGTACTTACATAGGGCCATCAACGCTAAAGTTTAAATAACAAAAAAATCAATATCGATTCTACAAGTGCAAATTGTGTGTGGTACCTGTGTGTGAGACGATCAGTTCCAACGAATAATTTCCTGGATTACCACACGTGCTCAAGTGTAAAAAAAAACTATAAACACAAGGGCACACATAAGAAGCCATTAATCACACAATTTCTGATAAATATTAGGCAAAAAAAAACTCATCCTAAAGAAATAAACATCTGTAGATTACCAAGACGTTAAGGGGACCATAAATTAGGTAACCAACCGTTCTATGCGTAAATAAACAGCCACGCCGCACAGTGGGGTGCAAACATAGAAATGATACTACTAACAGTATTGTCTCTATGGGTGCAACGTGATCGATAATTATCGATCACGTGATTATAATCAAGCTGGGAATATGGCCCGGATAGAGAGAAGGACGCAGACGAACGGGAAGTACTTCAGGGCCAGTAAGGATGGACCCTGGCAGCATATTAGCCAATCAAGTCCCCATCAATAACCCAAAATGAATGGGGATTACGCACAGCGGGGTAATAATTCGAGGGTATCGGCATTTTTCAGTAGGTATAACAAAGGTGGGACAAACAGATGCTTATATGAAGTTGGTACTCGGCATGAGGGGCTAAATTTTCACGAAGTCAGAGGGCACTACTTAAGGCGAGTGGAAGCCGGCAACACTTCGGTACTGAAGATAAGATTCAGTACCGCACAGGGGGGCAAACAATTCTAAAGCGGCTACCAGGAACTGGATTCCGACTCGGACAGCGACGAACAGGAAGTACACCAACAAGGATAGGTTCTAGCAGCTTACTAATCCACCTACCTCCATTCATGAAACCCTCCATTACTAAAGCCCTGGTTGAGGAGGATTCCGGATTGTCTATACTTAGTTTTGGGTCAGTTTAATGTCCTCCAAAAACCACCAGTAGCCCTCCTTGTCATGTTCTCCTCTAGCCTTAACTGGGCGTATGGCCTGAGCCGGCGACAAAAATCTGGGAGTGGCCATAACTATCGACATTGTCATCCACGATCTCCTGGGGGATATCTACCAGCCGGTGTAAAAATGAGGATCCAACAAACACTTAAGTTGTGTAAATAGCTTTAGATACATTCATTAACTAATTTTTTAAGTTGTTCTTTTTTAGTTCTTGCCTACATACAGAGTGTTTATAAATAATTCATTATTAATATTAAGTATAATAAGTAAGTAATCAGCAATTTTTTTAACGTACCAAAATGTATCTAGGTAATAATTATACTTAAGCTAAAAAATCATATCCTATTGCACAATTTTTTATAAATATTTTCAGAATAACTAATGTTTTTATTTTCATCCATTTCATTTGACAAATAAGGCTTTTAAAACAATTTTAAAACTTCTTTAATTAAGGAGCGAGTTCCTACACACTTGGATAATGACAAAATACATCTTTTATAGTTTCCTCTCTTAAAAATTTTCTGGAGTATGATTCTCGGTAATTCCGAAAGTCTTTGTTCCTAGATTCGAGAGATTCTTCTGAAAACATGCCTATCGGAAGAGGCACAGCCTTTATAATTTCTGGCCCGGGAATAAGTATCTTGTGAAGACTCGCTGGCATATAGTACCATGTATACTCAATGTGGAGGGACGCAGTGCTTTTGCAGTACTATTAACAGCTTCGGTTACGGGATTATTGGTTTTGCACAAATTGCTTGATAATAGGTTGAGTTCAATTGCTTGATTTATGTGGTTATTGGGATTCGGTTATGTTTTTGGTTTTAAAAAAGCTTATTAGGTTATTTGAGGTTATCTTGAAAACCTGACGTGATGGGGTTAAACGGGCTCCGGATTCGGCTTAAGCGACCCCAAAAACATATGGTAAACATGGTCTGATTCCCAGACCATATTTATATTTGAAGCATTTCGTTGACTTGAAAATTCTAGACTTTTACACGTAGCAAATGTAAACTGTTCCGTAAAATAAATATCCAATAATAGCATTTATTTTTATCTTTTTCGTAGGTTGCCGATATCCTTAATTAATTTTTGTGGTCTCCCTCTGCTGGACCAGGTACAGGTAGGTACATTTAACACTAAATTATGGATTTATTTAGCCATTCCCAATGTCTGGCTTCAAAAAGTTTTCGGGGCCGTTTGTAATTTTTTCACATTTTTGCAAAAGCGCTGTTTAAATTTATTAATTTTTCTCGCTACCATATCGTATTGATTATCTCGTCGATCGTTATTTAAGTTGAGCTTTCTTAAACCAAATTTAAAAACAGACGAATTGTTATCTCCAAGTAAGCTCTACCCGCACCAGGCGGCACATGTCGTTTTCAATTATTGACATAGTCTCTAAACAAATTTTTTTTAAAGCACCTGGCACTTCTTGGCATCCAAATGTGTAATTAGCAAGAAGGTAATAAAGCAATTTAAGTATAAACAAAATTTTTATGACAAATATTTTTTAATTTTACAATTTGCAGCTTTTGAAAATTAATATAATTTAAAAAAAATGTAAAAAATTCATGCATTAACATTTAATTATCTTTTTTACATATGTGCATATTTTTTAAACATATCTGAAATTAATTTCACATTTCACAAAAAGTATTTTAACATTGTTTAAGAATTTTGTTCTATAAATTTATAAATGTTTAACAATATTCAAAAATGTTAATTTTGTTTCCGTTTGCATCAAAGACTTTGATCCAATTTTTGAAGAAGCGTTTTTAAAATCTTTGTGAGATTATTAAACCAAACTTATTTTAAAAAATGATACAAAATAAATAGCTTTAATTATTATCTTCAAATATTATTATTATGTAAATAATAAATGACTACTTAAACTAGATCTCTCAAACACCTATATCAGTAAATTAAAAAAATATCTAATAAACACTTAATAATAAACTTGTACTTATACTTATGTGTATTTAATAAACACTTAATAATAAAGTTTTGATGTAAGATAATTAACTTACGCGATAAGTCATAAATAACTAATTTCTTAGTATAACCTTGAGTAAAATGGCTCGTTTATGTTTAATGTTATTGTGCGTATTATTGCAATTTGTCTTCGGACAATCGGCAAAAGTTTTGTTGGTATTTCCAGTTCCTTCTTCAAGTCATCATATTCTTGGTACAAGTTTGGCGAAAGGGTTGGCAAATGCTGGACATGACGTCACCTTGGTGTCCCCCTATGTGGACAAAAATATAAAAATTCAAAATAAAAATGGAAAATATAGTCAAATAGTCATTAAGGAGATTGATGAACAACATAAACGTAAAAGTTAAATACATTTAATATTATGTTTAAAATAACTAATTCTGTTTTAGTGAATAATTTTGACATGTTTGGCCTGGAATCAAAATCATTTATGTCTATGCTAACCGTAATGACAAAAATGTTTGGCAATATATCGAACAGCATTTTAAAAAACCCAGAACTCAAAAAACTTCATAAAGAAGGTCAAACGTTTGACGTTGTAGTTATAGAGGAATTCCTTACTGACAGTCTAAAGGTATTACATTACAATTTTAAAGCTTCATTAATAGCCTTTAGCTCTGTCGGACCCAACTCTATGGTAAATGATTTGGTTGGAAATCCAAGTCCCTTATCTTATATTCCTGAGATGTCATCTGGGCTTCCAAAAAAAATGAATTTTATTCATCGTGTTAAAAATGTACTTGGTTTCATAATCGGTAAAGCTTTTAAGTACTTTTACATACGAAAGTATCAAAGTGCGTACTTAAAAGAACATTATCCTGACGCTCCCTCTATAGATGAGTTAAAGTATAACGTTTCTTTGGTACTTATGAATTCACATGTAAGTACTTTCCAACCTGTACCTACAGTACCATGCATGGTATCTATAGGTGGATACCACGTACATCCACCTAAACCTCTACCAGAAGACCTCAAAAAGTATTTGGATGATGCCAAAGATGGCGTAGTTTACTTTAGCATGGGTTCAGTTTTAAAAGGCACCAACTTACCCAAAGAAAAAATTGACATCATCATAGGCGCTTTCAAGCAATTAAAACAAAAAGTCCTATGGAAATGGGAGGATGATAAACTTCCAGGTAAACCTGACAACGTTAAAATAGAAAAATGGTTGCCACAACAAGACATTCTAGCGCACCCCAACGTAAAACTGTTTATTTCGCATGGAGGCCTTTTGAGCACTACAGAAGTTATCTACCATGGTAAACCTGTTTTACCTATACCAGTTTTTGGTGATCAATTCTTAAACGCCCAGCATATGGAAGAATATGGCTTCGCTTTAGTGCACAAATTCTCTGAACTTACTAATACTGAAGAATTTTTGGCCAAAATAAAGGAACTTTTGTATAATCCAAAGTAAGTAAATACATCACCCGACAAAAATATTCTTAAATGTGTATGCTATATTAAATTAAAATTAAATTTTAATTTTGTAGGTATTATCAAAATGCACAGTACAGGTCAAAAATATTGCACGATCAACCAATAAAGCCTATGGACGTTGCAGCATTTTGGGTGGACCATGTAGCCAGACATAAAGGTGCCCCACACTTGCGTGTGGGAGCTTTAGATTTACCTTGGTATCAACTGCACCTTATTGATGTTATAGCATTCTTAATTATTGCACCTATTGTAGTATTAATAGTTTTATCATGTATAATACGTAAAATATGTTCTTGTTTATGTAAAAAAGATAATAGTAATAAGACTAAAGTTAAGAAAAATTGATTTCTGTTGTAACATTTTTAATAAATAGTCCACAAAATGTTTACAATATTATTGTGTTTTTACAGATAAAGACTGTTATCAACATGATAGTCAACATTCCTTGAAGAACTTTTGACTTAACATAGTTCAAACCAGTTCATCACAATGATCATACGAGTTTTCCCTGTGTTTTTAATATTACCTATTATTTCACAATGTTCCAAAATATTAGTTTTGTTTCCGTATGCATCGAAAAGTCATACAATTCTTGGAGAAGCACTGGTAAAAAGTTTAGCAAATTCTGGGCATAATGTGACATTTATTACACCCTATAAAACTAATTTGCAAACCAAAAATGGAACGTACAGACTAATTTATTTGGATAATGTTATCGAGTACCATGAGAGTAAGTAAAATTATATTTATAAATATTAGCAGCAAACATTTGGCCGAATTATGGCCAAACTTTGAAAGCAGATGTATTTTATGTCGGCCCGATGATGGATATAGACGTCGCACCTTAATATACAGGAAACATCGTCGATGATCATGCGATGATGATTGGCCGACGTTTGACCGACCAGTTTTACATTTTTTTTATTTTTTATTTCGGCGATCAGACGTCCGAAATTAATAGTAAACATAGGCGATGATTATTACCCAATATGTCTTGCCGACGTTTGGCTGACTGGTATTACAATTATAACGTCGAATTTATACGTCGGCCCGTATTCGGAAAGGGTGGGCGAACGTTAAACAATAGGAAACATTGGTGGATGATTTACCAATTATGATTAATTCCAAATTCCAAATTTATTTATTTACCTATTTAATTACATAACTAACATATAGATATCACAGATTTTAGACAGTATATCCCTATACATTAAGTGTTATGGTGGCCCAGGTAGGCACAGGTGCCATAAGGGCAGAAGTCCAAATGGACGTCGATGGAAGACATGTACAAATCGCAACATAGTTTGTTTATATTTAAAGGTGTGGTGTCCGCACGTAGTAACATTAGGAAGCGGCAGCCGGTATATTGCGCTTATATAGGGGGACTACTGTGTCTGAAATTTAAATATTTAAATATAAAAAGACTTCCTGCTATATAGTAGTGCTGAACATTTTTTTTAAGTTTATATACAAAAGTGCTCTTTTAGATCCACCCTTACTTCTTAAGAAGTCCCATAAGCCAACTGAATGGCTTGTGCGGGTTAGGGGTAGGAACGGACCGCGGGCTTAAAGTCCCCTCCGAAGGACTAATTAATAAGATCCGGTTCCTTTTTCAATCTGGATCTGATCCGGGTTTTTCAACGTGCATAATCCGGTTCTGAATCTATCCGGATATAATACTCCGATTCGGAGCAAAGATCCGAAATCTGAATACACAACTGCTTAAAAGATTGTTTTCTCAACAATATGCTTATAATTAATAATAATAATATAATTTATAATATATATAATATCATTTATTAGTTCATTCTAAGTCTATTTTCTCCATACAAAAATATTTGGCCGCTTCTCTTTTAAAAAAACCAACTTCGATTGTTCACCAAGACAAACTTAAGATGTCGTAATAAGGAAATTACAGATTCCACATATCAAAAAACCCCTGTATACCAAATTTAGTGATGCAACAGGGTTCTGAGATATAAGAAAAAGACTGGGCGACTTTTAGGGGGCTGTATCTCCGAAAAGGGGGACCAATTAGTAAAACTTAAAAATACGTGTCCTCTAAATTTCTGTAAAGAATCTGTGACCAAATTTTCTTGCATTAATTTTCGGACACCCTGTACAACTGCTTAGTAAGAAATTAAATTTGTTTCTGCTACCAATTATACTATTTCTTTTTTATGCCCATAACTTATACATTATTATGATCCGGATATCGGATCCGGATCTCAGATCTTAGATCCGGATATCGGATCTTAGATCCGAATATCGGATCCAGATCTGAGATCCGAATCCGGTTCCTATATTTAAATCCGGATACGGTTTTTTTCAAGGATCCACGATCCGTAAAAAAATCGGATCCGTGCAGCACTACCATATAGCAGAAAGTCCTTTTATAAAGGCTTTATAGTTTTAGGTATAATGTGACAATTGTTATACGCTTGAAAAACAATTATAATGTTATGATTGTAATATAAAGTACTTATTGACTGGTGATTTATAATGTTTTCGTGAATTAGGTAAATAAAGTAAAAATGTGTTAAAACGTGTATTTCCAACATTTGTTTTTAGGTTATGTTCATAATTCCTTAAATTAATTTAATCGTTTGAAAATCGCGATAAAGTACATATTAAGCGCGAACTATAAATTTTAAACATAATTTTAAGAACTTTAGATATACTCAAAATACGTTGTCAATGGTTTTATAAAATAAAAGGATTTTGAATTGTCAACGAAATTGGTTATGTTCAGGTTTTTACGAAGACCGCATTAGTTTTTTACCTTAACCCTTATGTGACTGGAAAAAAACACCTTCCTATGACAGAGTGGGTACCTGGGTACCGAAATCATATTAATTTGCATATTAAGCTATTAACTTGTGCGATATACTTACGTATTTGAATAAGTAAGCTATTAACTAAAACTAAAACTAAAACTCGGCGACAGCAACTGAATCAGCTGATTGCGGACTGGTATTGACAGTTTGGTTGTTTCTTTACACTGTTGAATAAACAATTGTTTAAGTGCGGGTATTATTTTGTATCAGTTTTTTTACAAATATTTATATAGATGTAGATAAACTTTGCGTTTTCATTTTAGCTATAAAATATATAATTTGGCATTTTAAACCAAAGGGTAGGTACCTGGGTACCCAAACCGTCATTTGTGTGTGAAAAACTTTCAACATTATTTATTAAAAAAAAAAACGTAAACATGTACGTATTTCAAATTTTAATATAGTGTAGAAATGGCAAACCTCCTCGATTTTAATCAAAATAATATATTCATATCTAAAATCTGAATTTTGTAACGAGCGTCCAGTACACCGCATCTCGCGCTCAATGGGGAGGGGGGGAGGTTGTAGCTAGGTCGGTTGGGTTGGGTTGTTGAGTTTGGGTTGGTTTGGGTTGGTTTCTCTCATTTCTGCGGTATTTTATTAGTATCAATTTTTTTGTTTTACAATTTTTACATATTTTGTAAATTTTTTGCGGGGGGTGGGGGGTAGGTTGGGTTGAGTTTTGATTTTTTTGCATACGAAAATGCTACCGGGGTACCCATTCAGTCACATAAGGGTTAAAAGACAAAGATGGCAATATAAAGTAGGACAAGAATGGCTAGATTTTTCTGTTGCAATATATAACCCCTCTCTTATAAGAGTATACAGGGTGTTTCATAATATATGCGCAGGACTTCAGGATGTGATAAATCATCCAAAAAGATGAAAAAAGTCGTTATTAACTTACGCTCTAAAATGCACAATTTTCGAGATACAGGGTGTTGAAATTTTAGAAAAAAAATCGTTTTTTTCGAATATCTCCGGAACCGTTTATCGTACAAAAAACAGCTTTTGTAAGCATTTTTTCCTCTTAATTGGTGGAGATTTTGAAGGGGTAGCTGGTGTTTTTCTCCTCAACTTCTACGCCCCTGAAAAATGTACGGTTTTGAGAGGCCTATTCGAACCGCTAATGTTTTCTACACAAAAAAGGTACTCCTGGTCATAAGCTCTAAAGTTGACCGTTTTCGAGAAAAATCAACTTTTATGTTTAAAAACATGGTCAATTTAAAAAAAAATAATTTTTTTTTTACTAATTAGACAAAATTTATTTTAAAGTTAAAACAACTAACAAAACCAAACCATAATTGCAAAATAAAAAATGATTCAAAAGTTGTCTTTGCTAAATTCTCCAAACCGTAAAGGTAACGCATTTCGAACATTTCAGCATTTGTGTAAAAAATCATTTTTTATTTTTTTTTTAATTTTGCAATTGTCGTTTGGTTTTGTTACTTTTTTTAACGTTAAAATAAATTTTGTTTAATTAATAATAAAAAAAAATTTCAAAAAATTGACCATGTTTTTAAACATAAAAGTTGATTTTTCTCGAAAACGGTCAACTTTAGAGCTTATGACCAAGAGTACCTTTTTTGTGTAGAAAACATTGGCGGTTCGAATGGGCTTCTCAAAACCGTACTTTTTTCAGGGGCGTTGAAGTTGAGGAGAAAAACACCCGCTACCCCTTCAAAATCTCCACCAATTATGAGTAAAAAAAATTTTTTTCTGGCACAAAACATAGCTTATTATGAGTAGAAATTGCTTACAAAAGCTGTTTTTTGTACGACAAACGGTTCCAGAGATAATCGAAAAAATCGATTTTTTTTCTAAAATTTCAACACCCTGTATCTCAAAAATTGTGCATTTTAGAGGGTAAGTTAATAGCGACTTTTTTCATCTTTTTGGATGAGCTATCACATCCTGAAGTCCTGCGCATATATTATGAAACACCCTGTATATGGGTCAAAACACGCCAAGTGTTTCCACCAAAAACTTAACTTGTTTTCGATTTTGATGAAACATTGCTAAATCATTGTCCTATCGGACTACTTAAATTAAGCAAAAGGGCAGCGGACAAGACTGACCGGTTGCAGATATACAGGGGCTTGAAATTTTTATTTTTCTTCTGTGAAAGTCTTTTGGTTAATAAAAAAAATATAATTTTTTTTTTTAATCGACAAATAATATATCCTATAGTTAGAGGTGGTTTCAAAAGCGAAATAAAAGAAGAAAAACTGATATAAAAAATATTTTTACTTCTTTTTCAAAATGAGACCATTTTGATTTTTTAAAAATAAATACTACAGAAAAGCTTATTCTTTTCCCTAAATTTTGATATATATTTAAATGAGATATCGAAACCAGTTCGAAAATAAAAGCGCACAGGGATCGGGCATCGACTGGCTCTGTTCGATCCGCTATTAATCACAAAAGGGGGTCCGGAAATTAATGCAACAAAATTTGGTCACAGATTCTCGAGACAAATTTAGGGGACACGTATTTTTTAGTTTTGCCAATCGGCCCCCTTTTTCGGAGATA